GAAGCCTATTGTGTGGTCGCTACACACAATCTGCAGATTATGTGTAACGATCTGACTCCCTCAATTATAGGCAGAACCGTACAGCTATACACCACTTATGCGCCGGGATTTATCCGTAGTAATAACTGCCACCTGATGTAAGGTTCACCGTGGCATCTCCATGTAGTCTCCACTCCCTATTGCCACTAAACTATGTCGACATCCCCCCCCCCTCCGTTGGCCCACCGGAATTTCTCATCGGCTCCCAACAATCCATCGCTACCCGCGAGGAGCCCTTGTGACTCGTAGGCCTATCCCGTCGCTACCCGCGAGAAGTCATCAATAAACCACCTGTGGCACATTTAGCCCGTGATGACAGCAATTCGACTGAGCTTGTGGAAAATTCGCGGTCGCCCCAAGCTGCACGCAGCACATGGACCACGCGAAATAGAGAAACCAACATCAAAAACATGGACTCGAATACGACGTGTCCTGCCTTATGGCACAAATTCAGGTCGCACGTAATGCATCGATCGGCTGCATTCTTACAGACTGTACATTGAAACGCATAGAGCAATACCAGACAGGGGTCTGCATGTGACTTAACACCACACCTTAGTGACATATTCGTAACAAGGCATGCTGGTTTCTACGATATGATACAAGAATTACATCACATATAACTGATCAGAAATAAAGCGCGAGTACATGATCTCACCATGCCCACATAATTTTTTTTTAATGTTCATGAATGCAACGCAAGGTTGCATAATCAAGAAAAACGCCGGGGATGTCAGGGACCTGCTGAAGGGCCGGCAATTCCTCCGTCCGGGCCGATATGGATTTTGCAGGTGTGCGGGCGCTGAGTGCCCAGCTGTCGGCGCACCAGGTCGATAAGGTCTCCAAACACTGCCGTCCTTTTCAGCGCCCCTCCCACTGCATATGTCCCTGTATCCATGATTGTAACTGTTGCTGTTTGCCTTCGATGAGGTCGGTGTTTTTAAAGGGCTCTATTGCTCGTCCTGGCGCACAGGTCCGGAACCAGCGTCAGGGCCCAACATGACAACCAAAAACCGTACTCGCACATTGAAAAAACAACATGGGCCCCGCGACGAATAGATACGTCACGCGCCACATCTCAACCTAACCTATTCATTTGCGCTCTCGAGATTACAGAACGTATAAACAGCTCCAGAATAATCGCATTCTCACGTTGAAAAACAGCATGTGGCCCGCGACGGACAGATAGGCCGCGCGCCACATCTCAGCCTAACCTATTTAAACCCACTTTCGAGATTACAGAGCGTTTAGACACCTCCAGAATCCCCGCGCTCGCACGGTGAAAACCAGCATCAGCCCGCGGCGGATAGATAAGCCGCGCGCCAAAGTCATTCGGCGAGGAGCGCAGTTTCGCAAAGTGAGTTGGGGGAGGACGAAGGGACGGTGGGCGGAACCGGAAAAATGATGGAAACCACCAACAAAACGCCAATGAACGGGTTTTCCCGTATTCAACACACCATCTTCGCCAAGGTGGAAGCGAGTCACCCTCACCCCCCCCCCCCCCCCCCCCCCCGCTTTGCAACTGAAGAGGAGACAGACTATGCCCCTGTGTTCGGCATTACGAGTTAAGACTTCCTATGCCGAGAAACCGACCATCCGTATACCAGAAGGTAGGTTAAATGACGTATAACAAACATTATTTATATTGCCAGCACTCGGCGTTTCATCTGTGCTCACGATATTGAATGTGTGATAGTAAGCACTTAGTACTGCCTCATATACTTTTTGCCGGCTTTTGTCCGTTTGGGGCTTTCGTCTTTCGCTTTTCTTTTCGACTCATCTTGTTTTTTCCAAATGGTCTTTTATCTCTATAGATCTTTTGTCCTTTGGCTTTTTAGCGACTGGACTTGATCTCACGCGGCGTATGTCTCTTTCGACTTTTTGTTGCGTTTGATTCTGACTCATATTTTGCTCCTGTCGACTTTTATCTCTTTCGACCTTTTGTCCTTCGACTTTTTTCGATGCTATTTTCGTCCCAGTCGATTTCTATCCCTCATGACTGTTTTCTTCCCACTTTTTTTCACTCGGCTTTTTGTCCGGACAGGAACATGCACACAGATTGTCTTAAAATTATCAGAGCCTCCCTCATTTAAAGCACTGGTTTTGAGATTAAACGCGAGGATTTTCCCCCTCTAAATTTTCGATGACGCCTTGGCATTTCTCACATATTGATGCACAAACATAATTTAGATCAATTAACAGACTAAGTAATTTTTGTCGTATGTTACTCTTCTTAGCCGAACACCCGTCTTTACAAATTAGGTGTGCTGGACCTGATAAACCGGTTGAATTATTCAAAATCGTGCCATGCTCTAAGCTAAGCTTTTCCATTTTTTGAGATCGAGCCAAACGTAACGCTCATCGGTTTTCGCACGAATATTTCATGCTCATTTAACACTTTTTTTGTCGTTTAATAATATTTTAGGTTAACTGGAATGATGTTATCATTCAGGGACTACGTATGCAGTAATTCTTACTGCATGCGCAGGATACTCTTGCTACCGATATAGCTCGGATAAAGAATTTACCGAATCCGAACCGGTCTAGAGCAGGACCAAGGCATGTGCAGGGTTTACCTGCTGTTTTATCATTTGGGGGGGGGGGGGGACAGAATGACGCTCTTCCGTCCTTTGATCCGCCAGCGGATGGTTGCGACAGAACAAAAGTGGGAAGAGCGTTCAAACGATTTCGAAAGTTCATGAGCCAAACTGGAATACCATTATGGGCTTAGCAGCCTGCAAGTGGCGGAATCACGTCGAGTGCCCAAATTTGGAAAGCCAGGTAGCAATACTGAAATAGGCTGAGTATCGTTTGATTTTGACGGGTCCGTGGTTTGGAAATGTCAGAGGTTCAGGTCCAAGCAAAACGTTGGCAGGTTCGATCGTATGATCCGCCGGCTATCAAATGTGGTCCGTTGTCAATTGATATCATTTCATGTTCATGAAATGTGCATCAAAAACTATAAAAAATTGGCACTCGCCCTATGGGGCATTCACAGTCCTTACCAATGTCCTACGCCGGACGTGGCGACGTGTGGCTATTGTTTCAAACATCACCATAGTCGTAGGAGGGATGCAACAAATATGTGCCCTCCCAGGCACGCCTGCTGAGAAGACGCGCGCAGATTCCCAAGTTTGCGAATCTACGCGCGTTAACAAAACTACCTATTCCCCGAAATGCGGCGCTTATGCCTCATGTCACCAAAAAAGTACACGCGCCTTTTGACCGTTTGGTAATTCGATGACTGCGATATGCATTGTGAACCCACCCATACCTAACCCAAAGCACTTCCACTTGCGCCGTCGTGCAGCCGACGAGAGCCAGGCGATTTGACGGAGGATTTTTTATTTCGGCATGGTGTTGAGGTGTTATGTAGCCGCTTTTCCGTGAAAAAGGCCGAGTTTGTATTTTTGTTGTATTTTTGGATCATTAGCTCAAGCAAAGGTCGTTCATAAGCAGTAATGGAAATATAAAAAACATGAAATTACTCTTGAAAGTCTTGCCAATGGTCCGCTTAATTCCATCATAATTCATATACGTGTTATGATGCAGCAGGTACCATGCATATATTTAAGTCTGGTGCCCTTTTGTCAGAGTAGATGAATGTCTTACTCTTGTAAAACAAACCTACAGCAACATAACAGAGAACTGCTGGGGACTATAAATCAGAGATGTTTGAACTGAGATTCTCGATAAAGTCACAGGCATGTCCACCGCAATAGACTCCTTGCGGGCCCAAAGTCGCCCAAAACTGAGAGATGAGAGCATAAAGCACCGGTCCTCCTGTTCTCGAACGCACGGCTCTTCCAGTTGCGGACTATGGAGGTCAACGCAGCTGTCCGCGTATCTTGCTGCTAAATCTCTGCCGTTTGGCTCGGACTGCCTGTGCCCATATGGTAGCGCCTAGAAGATTTAAATCCAAAATAGTTTTCCTGATCACCAAACTCCTGAATTATAGTCAGTAGTGCCCTGGTGAAAACTGCCCTCGAACCTGACGGGAGGAAGGGGGGGGGGGGCTGGAGCCCCACGAGCTTCCTCTCTTCCTCGTCTGACTACCACTTTCTTCTATTATTTGCGATGTGCAGCCAAATGTGATCGCAATATGCATGTGAAGAGTGTATTATGATATAATTAACAAATAAATGTAACGGATTAAAGGCAGTAGCATGGGCAATATTCAGCTCGCGCACCAGGACACGTGCTAACGTTGGTACTGAACACTGTAATGATATTATTTCCTGCCAAATTTGAAACTGAAGTGGTCGAGATCCGGTTATAGCAAATGGGGGTCGGGATCAGGCCGGCTTTCGTTGCAGTGCTATGGTACTTTTTGGAATCATTGAACTTCTCAAGGCTGCTCTCATCCCAACTTTGATATCGTCTCGCGCCCCCAGCAAACGCCGTCTTTATCTGCTGACGGGTTGGTGCCATCCTTAGGAACAGTGGGGGTGTGGTGTCATGTTAGCCGAAGTGTGATGACGTCACTGGTGCGTCATCGCGTGACGTTCGCGCAATGCTGGGGTTGAATGCTGGATTCTTATTGGTGCTGACAAAACGTGGCGTTGCGCGGGGCCCTGTGCGTAATATCTTTCAAAGACCTGACAGCTGGTTTTGATTTACACAAATTTCCTAGATATTACGAAGTCAAAGGTCAACATCGTTCAGTGCGAAACCTTCCAATTTTCATAAAAGTTTTCATGGTGATATAGTCTGAACTAAGCATTGAAAGCCCTAAGCTAAAATTGACGCAAGGAGCAAGATTTGACTACCTGAGATTCAGCTGAGAAACATTTTGTGCTTGTAAAACCCGCTGTATTCTTCAATTCCAAAGGTTGTAAAGGTTGATTCATCGTCTTCCATAAGATTGCGTTCGTACGCTTGTCTCTTTGTCGTCATTTCGTTTGCAGGTGTCCCTATTAACCTTCACGGGCCTCCCCGGCACAAAGTGCGTCCTTGAATGCGTCACGTCCCCGGCATTTTGGAGTACGGTGAATAGTTTGGGCGGGAGCTCATTTCTCGTATATTACTTCGGTATGTATCCCCTAAAGGAGTGATTTAATGTTTCCAATGTAAATAATATCTTGAAATGGTGTGCGTTGAGCTGCTTGACTTGGTAGTGGGGTCCGTACGCCCCGTAAAATGTGGGTGCCTGAAGTGAGGCGTTTCTGGCGCGCAGTGCACGTGCTCAATTTGCTATCTTATTCGTTATACGTGCTGCCTTTTGCCGCGTCGGTATCGTTACTGTTGTCACTTTCGTTACGAAAGTGCGTGGAATTCTGTAATGCAGTTTAGATAGCAGTAATTGCCTTAGGTCTGCGCAGGAGAAGCAGGAGGATGGAGATAAAGTTTGGTTGATATTTTGGTGACATGCCCTTAATGAAAGTAGCAGAGGTGAGTTGTGCCTTTATCAAGGCAATAGTAGAAGTGACTTCAGCTATTGTTTCAACAAAGGCATGTTGCCAAAGTATCAACCCACCTATATCTTCATTCTCATGGTTTTCCTTCAAGGAAAAGGGGTATTATTGCTGCCTTATTCATGTGAAAAATGTTCCTCGGTAATGCGCTGAACAACCTGTGTATTTCACAGACTGGCAAATAATATGGGGTAGGTATACATTGGTACCTTGTGTTAATAAAGAGCATTGTACATCATTTGTCATGTTTAGGGCAGAACATATAACTCATGATATAATAGGTAGATTCATACTTCTACCCTCAGATTCTAATAATTATGGTGGCATGATTCTGAGTGCCGCACACACTAGACAATCTTGATCCCCCAGCGCCATTGCTATGTTATGTGCACATTGTCACAATGATACTGCACATCAAGAACTGTAAAAAATGTATTGGGCCAAGGTAACAATGATAATGCAATGAAATATGTTTTTGGTAATGTGTCGCTAAGTTAATGAAACATGCAGGTCAGAATAGACCAGAACCTAACTTAATGTAACATAGCCTAACCTAACCTAACATAATCACCTTACCTAACAACAGCCTAGCCTAACCTGACCTGACTAACCTCTTCACCCTATCTCCGTCAACCCATTGTCCAATTGGTGTCCATGTCCCATGCCATATATATATTAAGAAGTTTTGTATATCTGTCATGTTCCCAGTTTTCTTTTCATTCCCCATCCAGGGACATCATATTTGCCCCACCCCATGTCTACCAATCTACAAATAGTACTACGGAAGACTGCTCGGATACGCAGGAAAGACATTTCATTAGATCCTTGTTACCTTGGCCTTGTACCTTTTTATGGTTCTTGGTGCGCAGTAATGTTGTGACCATGTATAGCAATGGTGCCGGAGTCACTGTTGCGGTGTGTTTGCAGCACTCGGATGTTCTTTATTGTAATTACTTAAGCTCCAAGGTAAGAGTTTAGGTGACTTGTTTTACTATTGTTTGCTTTGTGTTGTGCCTTTAAAATGATGTTTGATGTCCAATGCTTTTTTTTAACATAGCATGCCAGTGTATACCATGACCAATGATACTGTGAAACTGCATGTAGCCAGATAGTTCTGGCTGATCAAAGCTTGAGTAACTGAAGTCAAAACAGTATTTTTTTGGTAAATGTTTTGTAACAGCAGGTTTCCTATCAGTACCAGGGAACAATTCACTTCTGCCGTTGTTTCAATAAAGGCATGTCACCAAAATATCAACCTAACTATATCTGTATTCTCCTGTTTTTTTTTCAGGTAAAAGGGCTAATACTACTGTCTCTCACTTTTATTTGAGTGTTGACCCAGTTGCATTCAATTTGAAATATTGAACAGAGTTCTACAGTTCACTTCTGTGGACTATGCTGAGACACATCTTCACATACTGTGGAGACTGGTCTCTTGAAATTTTGATCATCACATTTGTTGAAAACCTTATTGTGGACAGGAAGAAAGTGAAGTGGAAAGTCTGGTTTTGTGCCATATAACCCTCAGTATATTGTTTCTTCATCAACCTTTTGTGTCATGTTATGTCCTGGTGTGGTTGATGCTGTAGAATGATTAAGGAATGGCTTTGCACAAGTGCAACTGTATCTTGTTTGTGTTAAGATAGGCAATTAGAATAGAAAGTATGTTACATGGCCAGGCAACTGTGGTCCATAATCGTTGAAAAATTATGATTTGTTGTTGGGAGTAGACAAATACAGACAGATGTTAGGCAACAGATGCTGCTCACTTAACCCTACATCTGCTCCAGGTGCTCAGCATTGCAAAAATTTCAAAGTGGGCTGTGCACACATTAAATGCAGTTTTTTGCTGTAAGAATTAAAAAAGGTCTCCAGTGGCCTCTGTAGCACAATGGTTAGAGTGCTTATCTGTTACTTACCTTTGACCTTAAACCCTGATGTCTGGCCTGTTTGGCCAATTTGCATAGTCTGACACATGTATTCTAGGCTTACTGCTGCCAGGTTTGATGCTGATTGGCTGATCTTGAGCAAGGGTAGGAGCACCAGGCAATGATCCCAGAGCAGGGAATGCAATGGCATGAATGAAAACCAGTTCTGTCTTCTAAGTGGTTAATTCTGAAAACACTTCCCATACTACCATCATAAGTATTATATCGTAGGGCTGTCCACTCTGTATGATTCATACTGGTCTGACCAGAAAACTTGTGAAGAAAGGTTAGACAAGTTCAGTTTTATGGCATAAATGGTTGAACTTAAAAACCAAGGTTTTCCCTCAAAATATGATAGTATATGAACTGTCTAGATTGTGTTGCTGTAAAGTACCCTAGCCTTGGTACCTTCTTTGCATTTTGTGTTATCTCCATTGCCACTCGATTTGTATTTGCACCAAGCAAGCCAGGAAATGAATTTTGTTAATGTTGGCTTACTTTTAGAGAAGGGAAATGAACATCTTTGTACAATGTTTTTCATACTTTCAGACTTCAGCATGAACAGGGATAAGCTTGCCAAGCTGCAGGAGCAGGTGCGGGTGGGTGGCAAAGGAGTGCCACGGAGGAAGAGGAAAGTCGTCCACAAGACTGCCAATACAGATGACAGGAAACTTCAAAATTCTTTAAAGAAGCTGCCTGTCAGCAACATCCCTGGAATTGAGGAGGTGAGCCATTGAGGCCTATAGCTCACTTAGATGTGCTTTGAACCATAAAATTCATAATGAAGTCATCTGTTGCTCTCAGTTTTAGCGATCCAATGGCTTCTCAAGTTATGTCACAAACATCAGCCTTGAGGAAGAGACCCATCATGTAGCTGACAATATTAATATGGCACTGGTTGTTTTTGCATACATTAAGAAATGCAGTGCAAATGAAAATGTTCTGGCACAGGGATGATGCATAGGACCAACATTGGCAAGGTTCCATCACTGCTCCATGTTGTGTTTCTTAGGGAACGGAGGTCCATTTTGTGTATGTCTCTTATTAGCTTGTGTTTGTGGCAAGAATCTTTACAGTATGTGAGAAACATTTTGAAGCATGCAATGGTCAAAGATTGCAACATTGTAGAGCTGAGCTTTTCAGTTGTCTGGTAGCTGTTGTGGGGCCATACTTGCCATGCATGTGATAATCTTGACCATCACCACTTGCGTTGGCTTTCCCAGGTTCACACTGTAATATGCATGATGGCCTGGGGTCCTAGTTAGCATCACACACCTTCCAGGGACAGCATTTCACATTTACAGAACTGTCAGTGTTGGAAATTCCAAAGATTTTCCTGGTAGGGGAGTACAAATTGTCTATAGTAGAGCACAAAATTATCCAAGTGGTCATTACAGCTTTATTTAGGTTATCTTGGAGAGATAATAGTACAATGGGTGGCACTCAATGAAAGTGCCACTTTTTGTATGCAGCAATTTATGTAAAAGCACTTTGAATGAAAGGAAACATTAGCATTAAACATAACATACTATAAACAACACAGTCTCATACCCTGTGCTATGAAACACATGTGCATATACATTGGTTTGCAATTTATGAAAGGCTCTGTGTATACATGCTCCAAAACGTGTAATCACCCTCCGTGCTCTTCACCATTCTTGTTTGGCTATGCTTATCGTACCCACCGTCCATTCTGGACGGTGCATAAGCCCGGCGTGTAGCCACCCTCCATTTGGGAGATTGCGTAAGCCCGATGCGTAACTACCATCCGTCAGCCCAGTCTTAAACACTTGATCTTGACAAATGCACGCACTGCGCAATTCCAGGTCAACATGATCAAGGACGACAGTACTGTGATACACTTCAACAATCCGAAAGTGCAGGCGTCGCTGCAGTCCAACACATTCGCCATCTCGGGCCACGCCGAGATGAAGCAGATCACGGAGATGCTGCCGACCATCCTGAACCAGCTGGGCTCGGAGAGCATCACCCACCTGAAGCGGCTGGCCTCCTCCGTCCAGGCTAGCGGTGAGTGCCAGCAGTGCCGGCCAGGCGGCCACTCCGTCCTCGGAAAGTCGGCCGTGGGAGCGGCGCATAGTGCGGTCGGAGGTGGTGGCTTTGTCAGCGGCAGGAGCGACCTGGTCTCAGCGCGAAGTCTATACAACTAGTTAGCCATTGGTCGATCTTTGAAGCGCTGTGTGGGTGGTATCATATCGGTCATAACGTGATAAGTCGCCGATGTTGAAGTCGGCTAATCTATAAGCGGGTCGTGCAATCTGCATATGACGTCACCCGGACAGCAGGGTGTGTGGTTTATGACAGGTTCATTGTCCCCATGATGTGCATCGAGACTAACAGGACCATTTATATCCGGCATGGTTTTACAAAATGGCGTGCTGTCAGGCGTGGAAGCCACGCCTTGTTGGTTTAGCGCCACCTGTGGCAGGGCAGCAGACAGCATGGTATGAAAGCGCTGCCCGCAACCAGCCCGGTGCGTCGTCCTCAACCTGGAGGCTGACCAGGCCGTCCCTGATTCCAGTAGGCGCCGCCGGCGACGCCGCCGACAACGATGAGGAGGTCCCGGACCTAGTGGAGAACTTCGACGAGGCCAGCAAATCGGAGGGCCCGTCAGCCGCGGCAGCCGCCTCCGCCCCCTCCCTGGCCCCGGCCACGGAGCCGGACCCTGCCCCCGCCCCCGCCTCCGATCCGGTGCCCGCACCAGACGGCGGCGACAAGAAGGAGGACTAGCGAGCTGTGCGGGTCGGCGGCCGCGGCAGGGCCGGCCGTCGGCAGCGCGCGACCCTGCGCCCCAGCCGCGGGGTGAGCGCCGGTCCTCTGGGGGAGCAGCGCGCGACCGGCGGAGGTGGCCGGCGCTTGGGCGTGATGTGGCCTCCCGTTGGCCGCTGGCCGCTGGCCGCTGCAGCGCACGCTCGGAAGGACGGCCATCGTCATGATATCGAGGGCGTCAAGCCAACGTTTGCTGTCTCGGTCGCGCCGTTTGTGATGGTACTCAAGTCCGTGGAATAAATATCGTCACGAGTCGGTTGTGATGTAGCATTACCAGCCGGTTGTTGTATGACGTGGGAACGACTTGGGCCATGGCATTCACGCATTACACAGTACATCAGGAGCGAGAGCGTATGGATCGTACTCGGGAGAAGCAGCGCAATGAGACGCGCGTCGACTTCGGCAGTGTCATGCCGCATGGTGTGATGCAAGCCGGCGGTCAACGAGCGGTGTTCTGCTGCCATACGTCGAGTACTTGGGGGCCAGATGCAGTCCTTGATCACACACAGCACAAATCCGTATCTGCTCTGGGAAGGGGTGTTAGCGGTTTGAACCACAAACAGGCGGCAATGGTCGCTGCTCACGGGCGCTTCACGTGAGTGACGACCGTTTCGAGCCAGGAGTCGGTCGGCTATCGTGTCTGCCCCTTGCTCCCTCCATAGAGCCTCTTTGACAAGGTCGGCGATGGAGAACCCGATAGCCACATTTGCTGGGCTGTACTCCTGACGCCCCAGGCAGGGAGCAGACTGTCGGACTACGCAATTTGCCCATTTTAGGAACGGGAGGACTGGGTGCGGGGTAAAAACGTGTTTTTCGAGAGTTATGTTGTAAACTTCACTGTTCCGAAATTGTCGGAACGCAGAGGCCGTTGCAAGCGTCTGGGTGACGCTGGCTGACTTGTAACTAAACATTTACCTGCGCGTGGGTGGCCGGTCGAATACTCTTCGCTGGGGTGGGGGCAATTTGACCCCCTTGAGATCTCAAGCACTGCGATAGCGAGAAATACCGATTTGACGGTGGATTGGGCTATACGTGAGCTCGCTTGTGTCAAAATTTGAGTCCCTAGGTCATGACCTTGGGGTCGAACAAGTTCAAACTCCAGATTGGTACTCAGGTGCCCCCGGACCTCATGCAACCTCCATGAAGCTAGATACCCGTTCTAAGAGAAAGGTCAATGGGATTGGTGACTTATTTGGATTTTATGAGGTCGAGGTGAACAGGTGCCTACGATATTGCTTTTATTTTGTCATTCGAATGAATTAGGGGTTACGCTAGGCGGTATGTTCCTGAAAACAAAATGTTGAGGTGGGTCAGTACAGTACGTCAGCTACCTGCTTTGACCCTTGTCAAGTCCGCGGAACATGTCTGTTGCGGCCCCTATCATAAATAAATTCGAAATGAGCGCCAGAAACTACCCCTGAAAACCGAGCTCTTGAGTAAAAAAGCAGGTTAGTGTTTACTTCGGTCTCACCTTCATACCTGACGTTGGGCAAGCGGGGTAGGCTGTAATTCTAAATTCATTTGCTTCATTGTCTAAGAAACTATCTCAGGTAGGTATGGGTTCGTCGTACACTGTTGTTTCATCACATGGAGCGATTCCCTTGAAATGCCCTTCGCTGACGGCCATGGTCTGGCTGGCCCGCCATAGGTCAGCGACCCAACAAGGCCCATCCGAATTGTTTACATCAAAAGATCCGCTATTCAGTTTTCGACAGCTACGCCAGGTGTGGCACGGCCAATCCGTGACGTTCGAAAATCATTCTGGAAAGACCTTCGGCTGGGTCAATCTGACCCCCACCCGAGCGCGTGTCAAGTATTTGCTCTTCAGGGTCACCGGCCGCCTTGGAGGCTGTCCCGATCGTAAGGCACCTTTAAGTCCTCAGGACCAGTAACAGCGGCGCTGATGAGTAGCTGATGCTAGTGGCGCTGCCGCTGTTGAGTCACCAACATTCCTGAGTCACTAGTGATGATGAGTCACCGCCGCGCCGAGTCACCATCGCACTGAGTCATAACCCAACGCGGAGATATTTCGCAGTCTTCGTGGCGCTGTGATCAGGGTAATAGAAAACGTTGTAATCGTTGCCGTCTTGGCGACGGACTTAACTGGCGCACGCATTCCGCCGAGTCCATTTCAGGGCCGCCGGAGTCCGCGGTCGCTTCAGTCTCGATGGAAACCCCACCACCGTCTGTATGACTCCCAGCCGTACGGAGACCGTCCGGTCGCCCTAACCGTCCCCGCGGCCCATCGGGGCGGAGGTGGACCCGCCCGCGGGCTGCCCTGGGTCGTAGGTCGCCGCAGCAGGAACGGCTCGCTGCACTGCCATATGTGTGACGGCTGGTGGTGGTGCTGGGTTCGCCGCCATGTGTGTGACGGCTGCTGGTGATACCGGGTTCGCTGCCGTTTGTGTGACGGCTGGTGGTAGTGCTGGGTTCGCTGCCACGTGGCCATGCGTGTGACGGCTGGTGGTGGTGCTGGGTTCGCGCCTCCTCGTTTGTAGAACGCCATGCTGCCAGGCTGGTGATAGCGATACGGAATCGCATCCCTCCGAAATATGTGTGAGAGGCTGGTTAGTAAATATGGGACACGTTCGTTCACAATGTGCCGCGCCGCGCAACACACCAAACCGCTGCCACCAAACGGCATCCGAACAGGTCCCCGCCAAAACGCGACCACACGTGGTTCATAGCTGTATTAGGCAAATTAATGAGAACAAGCGAGCGCATGACACAGTGCGGGGCGGGGCGGAGGGGGGTGGCACAACCGGCCCTACGACTGTCCTTGCTGCACGAGAACGCCGGAGGCGGCCGCGCCACGTGCCGCCGCCGGCCGTTCCTCTCCGCCGCCACCGGCGCTGGCCGGGCCCTGTCCCTGCACGCGGATCTGATGCTTCTCCTGGTATGCCGCGATCTCCTGCGCCTTCTTCAGCATCTGCTCCTTCAGCGACTCGACCAGGTGCGACAGCTGGGCGCAGGACGAGATCACGAGTCAGAATCTTGGCTTTGAGCTCTCGTGACATGACAAAATAAACAGTCTATGGGATTTCAATAATCCCTTTATAAAACGATGACGCGCATGTCGAGTGCAGCAAAGAACGAACCCATACAGATACAGCGCTTACCGACCCGTAAATTGCGAGACAGATGCTTTGGTTTGTACTTTGGCGACGGTGGGGACCAGTCTCGGAAAAGGCGCAGTTTGGTCATCTGACTGCACAGTCAAGATTTTGGCTTTGGGCCCTCGTGACGTGACACAATAAACAGCCTATGGGTATTTCAATAACCCATTTATAAAGCGATCACGCGCATGTCGAGTGTCAAAGAACGAACTCCTAGAGATACAGCGCTTACCGACACGTTGATTGTGGGACAGATGCCTTGGTTTGTAATCTGGCGGCGGTGGGGACCAGTCTCGGGGGAGGATCACTGTTTGGCCAGCTGAATAATTAGTTGGACTAACGCAAGTCAGCTGGAAACTGGTTGGGGAGCGTTTAACTAGCCCGCGGAGGGTGTGCCAAAGCATTACAGGGCAGGTAAAACCTTCCGCCGCCTTGTCCAGAACAAAGGACGAATACAAAATCATCAGATGAACTGAAGCGGGCTAAATTGGGTAAAAGTTCAGATCGCAGGCGGCAGGCTCTGCTGAACAAATTTTCTGAGCTTAAAACATTTATGTCATTCGTTCGAAATAAATGTGTTTTTTAATACATGGGTGGGTTGCAGGTGGGGAAAACCATCCGACTGTTAACTATGCGTCAGGCGATGCTCATACATCAGCCATGGAAGCAGGCACGTAAGCAAAGCTTCCTTAGGAATAAGGTAAACATCACATTTTCTCCAAATTCGTGCAAAGGAATAAAGACGCAGCGTCAGTAAATATGTTAAGACCATTTGACGTGTCAGAACGACCAAAAATAACTTTGATCGGAGTCCACGGCAAGATCAGCGCAACCTTACGCCTACAACCAACTGATGTCGCAGACAGAGCCACTGCCGAGTACACTGGTATAGATCAACACAAACTGCTAGAACGTAAACAAAATACATACATGTATCACCAAAGAACTCGTAAGATCATAGGACGTCCCAGAGCACAAGCAATGCCGCCAGCAAATACGCCAGACGGGGGAACAGTGACGGAAGATTACGTAGGCCAACGTCTACTAGGCAAATAGTTTGCTAAACAGTCCAATTCATTATTCCTGAAAACCACGTTCCATAGCCACAACAATTGACACACAGACCGCAATACGCAGCGTGATGAAAACCCCTCAAGCCCCCAACAGACTGATTTAAACACATCTTGCGGACCGGATCGTGTACCTGTCTGAATTTCAAAACTTATTGCCATATCACTGCGATGCCACTACTTAAAATGCTCAACAAGTTGTCGACAGCATACTCAACAGCAACAATGCTCAACAACTTCGTCGAAACAGGCGAATGCTCGACCAATATTCAACAGCAAGGGATCTCCCTCTGATGTAACAAACTCCCGTTTCCTCAGCCCTTTACCATGCCTATCCAAAAGGAAATAGTAGTATCGAAACGCATCCATCTTCACTTAAACACCAACAACTTACTCACTAAACGACAGAGCGGATACGGATAATGGATACAGACCCTGCGACATCAAAACCAATAATTCATGCACTTCACACGGCCTGCGGCAGGCACTGGACTCCGAACAAGGCTCCATGGCCATTTTCTTTGGCGCGTCATAATACTTTGACAAGATCTGGCACTCCAGGAATGAGAACACGCTTTTGACATATCTGCAACACTCCTCTATTGGATGAAATGATATATTGGTAATAGAACATATCAAGCTAAATTGGGTCATTTCGGCATTTCATTCGGAATTTCATTGGCATTGGGAATTTCATTTCATCGGCATTGGGAATTTCGAAGCCAAAGCCAACCAATGCAGGCTTACCGCAGAATCCGCACTAGGCCCGCTCCTTGCCTTCATGTATCTGGACCAAGGCCATTCTGGACGAATTTTTACCTAAGACAACGCATGCCATTCTTTTCTTCGCCGACAAAACTTTGTTGTCTGCGACTCATGTCCCAGACAACATGGATGCCATGCGACCATCACTGCAAAAAGACCTCGACAAAATTTTTGACTGTGGTAGGAAGAGTGGCATTCCATTCAATGCAAACAAAACAGCATAGGAAAATCCACGCGCAGAATCATACTAAACACACCTAGCTTCTGCTTGGAGGCAAACCTATCCCGATTAGGGATATTCAGACATTTGGGGATAACTCCTTCCTACGACTAACGCTTTCGCGACATCAACGAAGGGACGAGAAATGTAGATCGAGCCATCAGTTCCCTCTATTTCATAGCATGTCCCACTGCCACGCCCTTTCTAGCTCAGACCTACACCACCCACACCCAACCCTTCCATGACTATTGTGACATAGTGTGCGACAGACACATCACTGTGACACAACTCTAATTGCATTACGTCCACCGTCCCCACCACGCGACAGCACGATACAGGCATTAACTTGTGCAACGCAAACGTCCAGTTATAACCACTTAACTGCCTCACCCTGTTTCAGTGCTCCTTCATATAAGCCACAACTAAATGATGGAATGAGCTCCCTCTTCCTATCCAAGAAAAAACTTCACTGCAATAATTCAAGTTTTTTCCAGAGGCTGAAGGCGGACGCTCAACGTTATCACTACACAACGCCATCACTATCACTATCATATATATCAAATTTGAAAAGAAATGACGGCCCATCTTGCTCGCTAGATTCCCCTATAAGAACGTCATCCACCTTGGGTTACGCTGCCTGATTTATCGGCAGTTAGGCAACACTTTTTCTAAGCAATTTTAGACACACCACAGCGCGATTTCGCTTCACTCCCCTGACACGTTAACATTGAAAAATTGCTACACGGAGCTGGCGTAGACAGCGGCGAGGGCTGTGCGGCAGCTCAGGACTTCCGGAACTGCTTACTGTACTCAGGCCAATTTGAAAATGCATGAGGCCCACGTAGACGTCCGCTGGGCATTAGGTAAGGGCCACGTCCGCGGCGGCGGCCAGACCACTGCCCTACTAAAATTGTACACCCTGAGAGCAGAGGTGCTTCATGTTAAGAGAATTGGCTCTTGCACTGATTTGTAATGAAATTCTTCATATATGTGTTTGTTAAGAAAATGTATTTGTTGTTGAATTTTGACACAATTCTGGTGAAATCACAAGCCCCATGACCCCTTCTTTGGCTACATCTCTGCATGAAAAATTATAGCAGACCTAACATTAATGATGCTGTGCACCAATGACAGGAACAATTCAGATGCAAAAACTTGTTGGCCATTCCTTCCCTCGCGACAGCACTAGATTTCGACCTTAAAGAGTCATAACCATGACCTTGACTTGATCACAAAGTGATCTGTCTAAGGCTTCCATCAGCCTCCTAACCCCATTGATGATTTTGGTGATGGTCTTCTTTTTGGGGTTTTATTCTGGAATATCATACATCAGCTTACCAAATCTTGATACCATGAAAACTTTGGTTGACTTATATTTATTTGATTCCAGTCCTGGTCCTGATTCTGATTCTGGTTCTTACTTCATTTGACTCCAGTACTGCACTTGTCCAACCTTTGTAGGGTCACCAAGGTCAGGGCTTCACTAGTGTTGGTTGCTGGTTTACCTGGCTTCTGTTGTTGGTGAGCGCTGGCAGCACCTCGCGGACGGTCCGCTCCACCAGCACACCGCCGATCATGCGGAAACATTTGCGGGATTCGTCCACGCTGCTCAGGGTCTCGATCACCATTCTGCCAGCCACCGGAAACAATGGTTTCCAATGTGCCGTTCACCATGCATGTTATGCAACAACACATGGGTCACCACACATGTTGACTGTCACTCTGCCAGCACAATGGCCTGTGAATGGCCATAACTTGAGTAACATTCTGCAGGCCAGTACACATGTTGCTCCCCACTCTGATGATCAGCACTCACATCATTTACCATTTTGTGAACAGCCAGTCACACTAAACACAGCCTGCTGCTATATCTACCACTAGAGGCATTGTTTTTTGTTGTCATGGCCTCATGCACCCTGCCATAGTTCTGTGCTCATGCCATCAATTAGGTTTGATAAACATTCAAAATTTTTGACAAGTCCACACAGTTGCATGCATGATCACCATTTTATCAAATGCATTTCTGCTCACCATTCTAAGAACTACAAGGTGGCATGTTGGACTGCTTTGACCTTTGGTCAAGCACAAATGGATACTTTGTATCAGTGAGCTGTGCCAACACTGCCAAGCCACATCTGTGTTATCTTGATAAATGGACTTCACACAACACTGATGCCATCCTGTGTAAAGTTACCCTTCCATGCCTGTGACTCCAACCAGGGGGGCATCATCAGCGGTGGTAGGGGGGGGGGGGGGGGTTAGGTGTGCACTGGTTCTCCATGAGCCTTGTAATGCTCACCTCACATCAGTGATGGTCATTGTGATCACAATTTGGTCTTAAGTCAGGCCTTGCCTCCAGCATCCCACTCCTTTCTCACTGGCCTGGCCTTCCTAGCACTCCAGCAACAATACTCTGTCACTGGATATCTTTATAACCCATACAGATGACAGCTGCACTTTTCAAATTAAGTATTCTAGTTCAGTTACCTGTGTTCATTAAGCTCCTGCTCAAGTTCAGCCACCTTCTGTGCCAGCTGCCGCTGCTCAGAACGTATTTTGTTAAAGCCTTGGATGACTTCTTCAGCACTGTTCTTAGCTGTTTTGCCAGACATTTTGTTCTGAAAAAGACAATGAGGCAATTAACAGGATGCACAGGTTTTTACTTTCAGGTACAATACATGGCACCAGACCGATATTTTTGTCCAACAGCTTGGGGCTTGAATGGGGGAAATTACCAAGTAAACCTCCAAAATTTACACAAATTACAGCTGCTTATTTAATTCCGGATTTAACACACTTCCTCTGATTATTCTGGAACCTGAGATATCATTGAAAGGCCCAGCTGATAAAAATTACAGCAACGCATGACACAATCGTCTTGCATGTTCATTCCAACATATTACATTGACAGTTAGGTCCCACCCATAAACTAAGTGCTATCGCCAGAGTAGGCCACACACTTCCTTCAAAGGTATATGAATAAACTATCCAGCACAAAACTCTAACAGCATTGATATCCCCAAATGCAATACGCTCTCTTGAATAACTCCAGCACCTCCATTTAGCTCAGCGTGCTATATGGTCAAGGCCCTAGAACATAAGATGTAAACGTCCGGCCAAATTCCGCCGCTTCAACTGATGACGTAACAGGTATACTCGGCGCGTAATGGTCAACGGTGGATACAGGCATACCACAGTTTGCTTGGCTTTTTGAAACAGTTCTTAGACTGGAAGCTGTTACAGGCCATAATATCAGCTCCAATGTTTATCAATCATTAATTGGGTAGCGTCCCAGCCGAGCGTCTCGGGCTGGAAAGCCGGGGGACAAAACTCTCACAAAGCGTTTTCGGGAATTCATTGCCGAAATTCAAGTCGGAAATATCTAGGCAAACTTAAAGAGTTAGGTAGTGCGTATACACCCTCCAAAACGGAGGACGGTTACACACCGGGCTGATACACCCTCCAAAATAGAGGGCGGTTACGTACCGGGCTTATACACCTTTCAAAAATCTTTCAGATGGTTGTGCGTGTCAAACATACGTGGATTCGCAGCCTTGAAGGGAAAAAAGTGCAAAAATGCAGAATCCCGTGTGAAAAGTCGGTTCTACGCGTGATAGACATCAGACGATCACGAAATCCATTAGCTCACTCTGAACGTGATATCAAACCACACACCCTGTTGTCCGGGTGACGGCTAGCGCACGTCCATATGTTCTGTTCAAGACAGGACAGGACAGGACAGGACAGGACAGACCCGGCCATGATAGGCTCGGCCTTATGCGAGTTTTTCACCTTCGCCTGATGATGGGGCCTCCGGACCTCCCCGAAAAATGTTGGAAACTAACAAGCTATGGCTGCGGCAGACACGGCATCGGAAAGCTCCAGTCAAGCTGCAATTAATGGGTGTGATTGAATATGGGTGAACGTAATATTGGACAGATCAATCAGGCCACATGCATCTAATAAGAACGCCTAGCTACCTCCTCTCATGTAAAGAACTGGAATTGCTAAGACAGTGCAGAGGACGACGTCATATGGGTTCCGAAAGCTTTACCAGGGGAGTAAAAATGGTGAACATCGCCATGTGTGACCTGTGATGTCGTTTCCGTCACTTGGCTTTTACAGCACACTCAGATGCTGAGGCTATGTGGCGTCGCCTGGCAAGAAGAGTGGGCACCGCGAAGAATCCAGCCCCGCACCTCTGGTTTCCTAGACGCGCAACCCTACACTTTCGGTACCCACGCGATATGGCATGTCAGATCACAGCGGGGAAGGCTGTTGTCGCATTGACTCATCCAGCGATTTTCGGAAACCTTCATAACTTTAACACTATTAAACGTCACATAGGGAGACCTTCAAAAAGTGAACCAGTTCACAGACATCATAATTCGACCAAGCTTGACCTTGGGTGAACACACGTGACAAAAACCAGAACGGTGTCAATGCAGAGCAATGATATTGATATGCGATTCAAGGGTCAAAGGTTATCGCCATTGTCATTAGCTCGGCATCCGCACCAGGACATAAGCACTGTCATTTGGTTCGTTAGCTATTCAGCCTCTCAAAAAGGTACCATTTACATGGGTGGTCGAAGGTGCTACCAATTCAGACTGGAAGAATAATCTGACCAAGGACCTCTCATCTGCGTTAACATGGGCAAAATCGACCCTACGTCTGTGTGAAAACCGGTATTCCAAGCTTGGAGGTTTCAAATCGAGGTACAGTTATGTGGATGAAGTGCGTTTTTAAGACGGATGGTCGCAGTGGGGCAGCTCCTGTGCAGATGATAGCTGGAGAGCGCCACGGCTTGTGCCGAGATCGTGGCCGGGTGAACATGTGAGAAGATGGACCTCGCCAGATTGTCCACCAAGCGGCATCGAATGATAAATATTTCTGTCAGTAGATGTTTTGTGCCTATCAGTCCCACAGCCTCGAAGCACGCAGTTACCTGCAAACTAAATTTGATTTTGGTTTTGGGCATTTTTCCGGCCTCTGCCCTGACCCAACGTCACCATCCTCTGGAAAGGATAGATTGTCGGTAAAGCTTACCTGCAAGCAGACTTTTTGTAGGTTGGGGCACCTATGGTGACCTCTGACCTGACACAAGGACATTGCCTTCTGGACAGAATGGCTATCGACTAAGGCGCATCGATTGGTGCAGGCTTCGTGCCGATCGGTCGCATTCGCTCGGAACATCGGAGCGTCTACAGACAATATTGGAGATATCGGACGTTTTTACTGACGTTTGACCTGGCCAACTGTCACCATGTTTAGAAAAGGAGAGGATTCCAACAATGGCGCATCAATAAGTGAAATGATGCATTCAAGCTCATTTTTCCACTTTTTGGAATTTTTGGTGACTTTTGACCTATCCCAGTGCCACCATGTCCTGAAAAGGACAAGCTATCGACCTAGTGGCATCAAATTGTGAAGGTTTTGTATTGACCGATGCCATAGGTTTGGAGGATGGGATTGTGAACAGGTTTTGGCGGCTGTTTCTTGTCTTCCGTTCTTGGAGACGTACGTAATTAAATTTGTTGCAACGACCGCAAAAAAGAATGAGCATTGTATATATATATATATATATATATATATATATATATATATACATCCCTCTAAAATTCATCTGTTTGCCTGCCTGATCTCAATCTGATTCAGCCCGTGACTCAGTTGTTCCATTTTTGATTTGGCTAAGTTCAGACTATATTTACATTGAAGCACTTCACTCATGACTCGTGCAGATTGCAAAATCAAATATAAAGCATCTGGCTCATTTATGTATGCATATGTATGTGTCATTTATATATATATTTATAAACACACACACACACACACACACACACCACACACACACACACACACACACACACACACACACACACACACACACACACACACACACACACACACACACACACACACACACACACACACACACACACACACACACACACACACACACACACACACACACACACACACACACACACACACACACACACACACACACACACACACACACACACACACACACACACACACACACACACACACACACACACACACACACATATATATATATATATATATATATATATATATGTAGATTATTTGGTTATGGATGAGAGTTGGCAACCTTAAGATGAACAGCATGGGATTTTCTGTTCAGAAACAGTAATAATAATTATGTGCTGATGCTGCAAAAAGTTTTATAACTTATGCTGGCGGGGGAGCTGCACAGGCCTGGCAGGCAGAGCTGCACGCGCCCGGAACGGTCGCGTCGGTCCCCGTGCGTTGGTCAAACGCTATGAACAGCATGACAGCCAGACGCATGCACCAGGGATCTTTTTGGGTTAAGGTTTCGCTTGTTGCTTGGCCAGCTCCTGTCGAGTCAAAGCACTAAGACCAACATTCGACTCTTCTCTAAATTGGCGACCGATTTGCAATAAACTCTGCGGAAACGCGGACGTTAGTTCATTAAAAATTGATACATTTTGTATCTTGAATATTCAGTGTGATGTTAAGCAATCGTGCGAGCAGATAAAAATGTCAGATGTTCATACTGCACTTGAGCATCAAACGTTTAAAAAATAAGCACATTATGTGTTCATATCCGTGCCACTATACCTCAGCAGTTTCATTACATCTCAGCTTGCACGGCTTCAATTTGGTTCGGTATTTGTTGAGCTTTCTTTGATTGCAAATGAATTGGGAATAAAAATCCCGGAGATCAGAAGTTAGGTAATGGCGTCCTTCCACACAAAGCACATCAAACAAAGGTAAAAGGTTTAACAACACTTATTCTATTTTCAAGGAAAGTTACAGAGCTATGTAAATCACCCTACCAGATTCGTGTAAAGGGTTGCGTTTTACGCCAGTACCAACGACTGCTGTATTGCCGAGACGTACTGATGAAAATCATTTTATCAGTCGGAGTCCCATAGACTTGAAATTGGCTTTGCTTTTTGAAACCTAATTTTCTCTGATGACTCGCTGAATTTTGGAGCTAATACAAAATTTTGACCATGGTTGGAAAGGTCGGTGCAAGTTGTTTATTCACTATGAGCTATCTGTGGGTGCAGAAAGTGCAGTGGTACACGCATTTGGTAAACTCCTGTGCTTCTGGGAAACCAGAGGCACGAGGTTAGAGCCCCGCGGTGCCCGCCCTTCCTGTCAGGGTAAGAGGCAGGT